ATGATTCCTAAAAACAAAGGTCCAAGTCTATCAGTTGAGCTACAACTCACATTTCTAGTCAGAATTCTTGATTCGCGTAGGAATGGCCAATGATGTATGATAATTTCCATAAAACATCTCTAATGTTGAGTAAAATGACCTTTTCCTTGCATGTCGAAGTGGTTCATCTGTCTCCCAGGAATTAGCAATGGTATGGAATGTAAAAAAGGAACTCCAGGGAACTGTGTCATTCTCAGACATTATGAGATGACCCATTGTCATGGAAACAAGAGTGGTTGGGTGTTCACTTAAAAGGGGGCTTTGGAGCCATCTGCCAACTCCTGGGTTTTTAAAGCTGCTGCCCACCCACCACCACCGCTGATCTGCATGACACCAGAGTGGGTCCCACATCAGGCTTTGTTAAGGGAAGCATTGGAATTTTAATAGCTCCATCCAGACCTGGAGCAAAAACCACATATGTTGATGTTAGCCCATGACACAGCTTCTGTCCTACTTTTGTGTGCTCACAAAGGTCATGTGAAAATTGAAGAGCTTGTCGGAATGAACTAATCAATAATGCTCAATTTTATCTCTATGCAACTTTCCTGGATGGGTGTGGTGGTGAGGAGGGAAACTGTGGCCGGAGTCTCCTTCGTGGAGCCAGCTGCTTGGGTCTCATCATGGCACTGGGTGCAGATTCAGAATCTAGCCCTTTACTGGACAAGGAGTGTCTGCTGTGCGAGAGCTCCTGCTCTTTGCCTGGCTTGGTTTGGCCCTACTTGGCATGTTCATTTTGTTTCTTGAACCATTTCCATTTGCCAGTTCAGGATGGGATGGAAGGATCTGGATCCTGGAGAGAGGTGGTGGCTCCCAAGCACAGCTTGAGGGAAGCTGGTGGCATGGCTGGCATGGCTCTGTGCCAGTGAGGACCATGGAGTAGATGGTCCTGGGGGCAGTGCTCCCTCTGATGGGACTTGACAACGAGTCTTCAGACCTTGCGTTACTGTCCATTCTGGGCCTCTTACCTTTGGAGAGCTTGATAAATGCAGCCCTTGTCCGAGGAATCCCTCTTTTTTTAAAAAAAAAATTATTTGTGCATACAAGGTGAGCTGGGGTACAGGCCAGAGATGCGGGGCGTGAGAGGATCTACCAGAGACAGAGCAGGGAACAGGCAGACTGACGAAATACACTGCTGAGGGGAGCAGCAGGTGAGACAGGAGAGGTCTGCTGTGCCATGTGGGTTTCTCCCTGGCTGGCCGGGGATCGAACTTGTGCTGCAGAGGCTGCAGATTGCTTCATAGTATGGTGCTTAACCCATTGCGCCACCAGGGAGGCCCCCGAGGAGTCCCTCTTTATGGGTGTGTGGTAGTGAGGAATTTATTCATTTGTCATTTTAGTGGTATTTATGACTACTCAGTGGGAAACAAATGTTTTATTTTTATTATGACATAATTGTGCCTTCCAGTTTATTTGTGTTGTGTTACTGTTACAGCACCATGAAGGAAGTTGAAGAAATTCGACCCCAGTCCTAATTCCTTAGCACTTCTATAAATGTTTTCCCTTTCACCTTTTTTCCACATGCAGGCATCTCCCCACCACCTTCATAGTTGTCATCAAAGTCATATACAATGTCAAGTAAGAGAAGTAGGAGAATGTTTAGAGTTTTGTGTTCTGGGTTACTGGGGCTTCCAAGATACGTTTTTTCCCTTTAGAAATTAAAAAAGATGGCATTTGTTCATTTCGCAAATATTTGTGAAGCATCAGCCAAACTGTAGGTGATCAGAGACAGTGCTGGCAGGAGTAGCCAAGAGAGGAGGAGGCCCAGCGGGTCTGCGGTAGGGGGTGTGGATACTTTCCCTCACTGAGAAGGTGGCATTTGGATGGAGAGAGCAAAGCCTCGAGAATCTGGGGAAGAGAACTCAGGCAGAGGGAACAGCATCAGGAGGGAGGGCAGGGTAGAGGGAGGAACCTGTTTGGACTGTTGAGGGAACAGCACAGAGCCAGTGTGTCTGGAGGCGAGGAAGCTCAAGGGTGGCTGTGGCCTCAGTGCCACCAGTGGGCGTGAGTGGCACGGCCTGTCTGATAGTCCACATGACCAACACTATGCCTTCATCTTTTTTAATTCCTTTATTGTTTCTCATCTAAAATTTGAAAGATCTCTAAAATGCTAGCTACTTAATTTATAGCTTTTTAGGAGCATTTTTTGATCTTCCACGTTGTAAGATCAAGATGTTAGCACATCTGCCCTATTTAGCTTCCCTCTCCAAAATCCCACTGCTTTTGGTATCTGCACATGTTGTTTTGCATGTTGTATACTGATAATATATTTCTTCAAAAATCATAGTGATACTTTTTCTGATTTGGCTATAGGTTTATAATAAAAGTGGGAAATTAGCACTCAGGTACATCCTTCAGCACACCTACAAATATGAATGATGGGTTGGTTAGCTGGGTTACAGCTGTGGGTTGGAAGCAAATTTCCTGCAGAAAGTTGGAGGTTTGCTTCACTGCTTTCTGGTACAGGGCTTTCTTTCTTTCTTTCTTTTTTTTTTTTAAAAAGATGTATTTATTTATACAAGAACCGGGGTGTAGTCCAGATGTGCAGGAAGGGGAGAGAATTCACCAGAGACAGAGTGGGGAACAGAACAGGCAGACTGACTGAAACACACTGCTGAGGGGAGCAGCAGGTGAGACAGGAGAGGTCTGCCACACCATGTGGGTTGCTCCGTGGCCGGCAGGGATCAAACTGGCACTGCAGAGGCTACGGACAGCTTCACAGCGCTGCACTCAACCCACTGCGCCACCGGGGAGGCCCTGGTACAGGACTTTCTGTTGAGAAGTCTGAGCTGTAGGGATTGGCCCATGACCCAGTATCTCTCTGAAAGCTTTAGAGGTGTTCTCATCCCTGGACCTTTCACTGTGTAATCTTCCCCCAATCACTAGACTAATCATTCTGAGGATGCCCACCAAGGGACTTCTTTGATTTTTTTTTTAAAGATTTATTTATTTATACAAGCACTGGGTACAGTCAGAAGCGTGGGAGGGTGAGAGAATTCACCAGAGCCAGAGCGGGGAACAGAAGAGGAAGACTGATGAAGTACACTGCTGAGGGGAGCAGCGGGCAGCAGGAGAGGTCTGCGTGCCAAGTGGGACCCTCCTCCGGTGGCCGGGGAGCAGCCAGGGATCGAACCGGCGCTGCAGAGACTGCGGGCAGCTTCGCAACCCCGCACTCAACCGCTGCGCCATGGGGGAGGCCCGAGACTTCTTTGATTTTGGGAAGTTACCTTTGGCTCCTGACAATTTCCTCTCCTTTGTCTTATCAACTGAAAATCTATTAATTAGATCTTAAGACTCCTGAATTGTTTTTGGCAACTTTTAAATTTTTCTTACACATTTTCTACCTTTTTGTTTCCTTTTTCAGTTATTTCCATGATTTATGTTTGTGTTGTTAGGTGTCACAGATGTAACTCATGTGTAATATGTATCATGTTCAATATAAACTATAACTCATGCTTGGTATTTATATAAAATATACTGATTATCAGTAAACACGTATGTATTTAATCTTAGCAGTTTTCTTTTTAAAGGAAACTTTTCTATTTTCATAATATCCTATTTATGTTCTGTGGATATAATTTCTTGTAAGATCTATTGAGTGCAGTATAGACACTCATTTGAAGTTGTTTTCTCTTTCCTAATTGTTTTTGTTTCCACCAAAATCACATTTTTCCTTTTTGTTTATCCTGGTCTCCACTTTTGTACTGAACAGTTTCCTCACTGTCAAATAACTTTATCTGCTTACATGTAAAAATTAAACAGTAGTCTCGCTTAGGTTCTGGTTAGAATAAAGAAAAATGAAAAAAAAATGGAGACAGGAATTTCAACACTGATGCATATTTGATGATATTAAGGAATAAATATTAATTTCTTAAAATGACAATAGTGTTGTGGTTATTTTTCGTGTCATTTTTTTAGAGATACATACTAAAGTACTTAAAATGGAATTATAAAATATATGAGATTTGCTTTAACCCTGTGCATGTGTGTTATGCGTGTGTAGCTATATGTATGTATTATCTGTGTATGTTTGTGTGCACTGTGTGTTTGTGCCTATTTATATGCCTTTGTGTCTCTGGGTATATGGGTTTACATGTGTATGTTTGTATATGTCTGTGTGTATGTGTGCTGTGTGCGTGAGTGTGGTTGTGTGTTTGTGAAAGAGGATGTAAGTGAGATGAAATAGGATGGACTCTTGATAATTGTTCATGTTGGATGATGGGCATTTGATCATTCATTATATTGATATTATTCTACTTTGTATAGCTTTGAGAGTTGCTATATTAAAAAGCAAAGCCTGAGTGGGGTGCCAGACTCAGGAATCTTAGTTGTTTTTTTTTTTTTAAAGATTTATTTAATTTATGCATACAAGAGCTGGGGTGTAGACCAGAGGTGTGGGGGGTGAGAGGATTCACCAGAGACAGAGTGGGGAGCAGAACAGGCAGATCTACTGAAATACACTGCTGAGGGGAGCAGCGGGTGCGACAGGAGAGGTCTGCTGCACCATTTGGGTAGCTCCATGGCCAAGGATCGAACTTACGTCTCAGTGGCAGCTGATAGCTTGATAGTGCTGAAACCTACCCCTTGTACCACCACGGAGGGCTTCAGGAATTTTGTTCTTGATTCTCATTGTACCTGCACTCTGCCCTCTCTGTGGTTCCCTACAGGCTTTGCTTGCATGTCAAACACCATGGTTCAAATGGCTGTCCACGTTCCAGATTCTGTTGAATCTTTCCATAGCATTGCTGACCTGGGCAAGTGGAGGGGGCCGGGGGAGGAGGGTGTCAATGCAAAGAGCCATGGAAAGCACTAGAGAGGGAAGAGGGCCAGGGGGGAAGGCTGGTGGAAGGGACCTTGACTGGCTCCCCTTGTCTTCTTGAAACCCCTCTAGAGACCTCACCTGCAAGCTGGCAGACTGGGGATTTGTTCTCATCCTACTCTCCTTCTCTCCTCCCCTTACCCAGGAAGAAAACAGGCAGATTTTAGCCCAGCAGAAGTCATCCTCCCAGTCAGACTCACACGATGAGGAGGTCTCCCCAATACCACCCAACCCTGTGGTGAAAGCCCGCCACCGCCGAGGCGGCGTGAGCGCTGAGGTGTACACCGAGGAGGATGCCGTGTCCTATGTGAGGAAGGTGAGTGATGGGCTTTGGGTCTCCCTTCCAGTTGGAGGGAGCGGGGAGGGTGCCTGCCAAATATGCATTAGCTTGTGGGACTCTTGGGGCTTCTCCACCACACACCAGTTTGTGCTCCTGCAGGCTCAGGGAGGGATGGACTATGGCTTGCTTGTGTCGGTGGAGGAGTGGCTGTGCTGGGCCGGGCGGTTTCTGTTCTCCTGGCTTTTGGACCGGAACCCTGACCTCAGACCTGCCCAGTGGGAAATTTCCCTCCACCCAACATCCACGCCTCCTCTCTCCGTGCTTCCGCAGGCCTGTGTCATGGGCACCGTGCAGCTGTTCTCACCTGGGACCTACCTCCTGCCTTGCCCTTTGAATGTGGGGCCTTTCATCCCTGTCTTATGCATTTCTACAGCTGGTTTTTAATAAGTACTTACCGCTTCTTTTTTGGTATTTTTAGTTTTTGACCTACTTTTTTAAAGCTCCTTTTTCAGTGATGGCAAAATATGCTTAACACAAATTGTACCATCTTTATTGGTCAGCTTAACCACAATCAGAGAACGCCACAGATGGGAAGGGGAGGGAGGTGCTCACACGACAGAAATATTGTTTCTCATGGTCCTGAAGTTCTAGGAGTTGAGGTCAAGGTATTGGCAGGTTGGTGTCTGGTGAGGACCCTCTTTGACGCCTATAGATGACCACCTTCTTGTTGTGCCCTCACCTGCTGAGGGGAGAGACAAAGAGACGAGACAGGGAGACAGGAAGAGACACAGAGTGCTTACTCTCAGGTCCCTTCTCACAGTGTACTGAGCATGTTGCAGGTCCCTCTCTCATAACTTCATCTAAACCTGATCACGCCCAAAGGCCCCACATTACCTCATCGCACGCTGGAGGTTAGGGCTTTAACACATGGATATGGGGGGCACAGTCCAGTCCATAGAACCATCTTAGGCATTTTTTTTTATGCATAGAAGAGCTGGGGTATAGGCCAGAAGTGTGGGTGGTGAGAGGATTCATCAGAGACATAGTGGGGAGCAGAACAGGCAGACTGACTGAAACACACTGCTTAGGGGAGCAGTGGGTGAGTCAGGAGAGGTCTACTGCTCCCTGGCTGGGGATCGAGCCCATGGCACAGTGTCTGCAGCTAGCCTCATAGGTTGCATCTTAACCCCTTGCGCCACCAGGGTGGCCATCTGAGGCTTTTTTAAATGGACAGTTCAATGACATTAAGTACATTCAAGTTGCTTTACAACCATTACCACCACCCACAGAAACTTCTTATCTTATAAAGCTGAAATTGTGTCCCCATTAAACAACCCTCCTCCCCAATATTTAATACTTTCATATGCAGATAATAAAACCCAGCAAAATAGTATTTATAAATCTAGGGCACTCCACTCCTGTGGTCTTTCTTCCCTAAACCCAGAACCCCACTCTGACCGTGAGAAGATACTTAGATCCAAATTGGGGGGCATCTGCCAAATACCTGAGTAGCCCTCGTCAGACTTGCCAAGGTCATCGAAGCAAAGGACTTCTTGGGACTGCGTTCAGCTAGGACTGCCACCAGCTGGAGGACTCGGGGGGCACAACTGTGTGTGGCCTTGGTAAGATTCTGGGACAGAACAAGGCCTTTGATGTGAAACAAAGGAAATGTGGAACATTCAGGATTTGTCACTGGTTATTTGCTAAGGCTGGTCCCTGGTTGTGGCAGATGCCAGCATCACCTATGACATCAACCACAGGACGACTGGGTGAGAGCATATGTGTTCTGTCTCTTCTGAAATCTAAACTACTCTAAAAGAAAAATATTACTTAAAAAAGTGGGGTCCAATTACTTATAATTGGGGTGGTTTTTTAGGGCCCTCAGACCTGTTCCCAGAAAGGTCCCCTTATAAAGGATTCTTTGGTATTAAAGATAATGCACACCCCCAGCAGGGTAAGCATCTCTGAGCAGCTGAGGTGGGGTCCTATTACTGCCAGGTAGCCTCTCCTCAGCATCACTTAAGGGAACTGGTGTTCAAGACACTCATGCCTTGAGATGCAGGTGCTTGCCAACACTTGGTGATGGATTCCCTGGGCACAGTCACTGAAAGCTCCCACCACGCATCCCTCCCCTGACTGGAGCTCAGCATGGCTCATGGGCCTTTCCCTCACTCTGTTGACAGTCCGACAGACAGAAGGTCTTCTCTTCCTCTATCCTCATCATCAAGCTTGGGTCATGTCTTTTTTTTTTTGCTCTTCAGGTTTCAAATTTTTTTTTAAAGATTTATTTATTTTTATACAACAGTTGGGGTACAGGCCAGAGGCGCAGGAGGGTGAGAGAATTCACCAGAGACAGAGTGGGAAGCAGAACAGGCAGACGGACCAAAGACACTGCTGAGGGGAGCAGTGGGCAAGGCAGGAGAAGTCTGCCACGCCATGTGGGTAGCTCCCTGGCTGTCCGGGATCGAACCTGCACTGCAGAGGCTGTGGACAGCTTCACAGCGTTGCGCTCAACCTCCTGCACCACCGGGGAGGCCCAGGTTTCAAATTTTTAATGGAGTGTTCATTATCTTTTTAAGACTTCAGTGAAATAAAAAAATTAAAGAAGACCCAAGAAGCTGAAGGTCTTTTAGCATCTTCAAGGAGGCCCTGAAGCCCACCAGAGCCAGTCTGTCAGGACCCCAACTTCTAGGTGGCACTTAAACCAGCCCTTGGGTCACTCTGGGTTCCTCATCTTTTCTTTTCTTTTTAAATTTAAACTTATTATGACATAACATTGACATTGTCTGTCTTTATTCTTATCTGACACAACTTGAACTTTGTACAGTTCGATCTTGAGCTGCATCATTACTTCTCTGGCCAAACAGATGCTGGCTTTTGAAAGGTCAGCACTTGTTCCGGGCAGGTGCTGATTTTCGTGTCTTCCCCTGCAGGTGATCCCCAAGGACTATAAGACCATGACAGCGCTGGCCAAAGCCATCTCCAAGAACGTGCTGTTTGCTCACCTGGATGACAACGAGAGAAGGTAGAAGTCAGAAGGTTGCTGGGAGGGCCTTGTTTTGTTTTTTTTTTTTTAAATAATAAATTTTATTTTTATATTCCCCCATACAATTGCAAACCCCCATTCTGACCCCAATCTGGGAGGGCCTTGTTGGTTGTGGGTGGTGAGTCAAGGTGATGCTCGGCTTGAGGGGAAGTGTGCCACAGCTTTAGGAAGTGGACACATGGCACAGGAAACAACTTCCAGAAACAGCACTGTGTGTGTAACTGGGCAGCCCAGGAGAGGTGTGTCTGGTAGGGGGTAGGTAATCAGAACTGCCCCCATCAAATACTGGGTCAGAACAGAGGATTCCCACCACCAGATCTCATCATAGAAATACACATGTTGCCTCCTTTTGTCCAGATCACTGTGGGCTTGATTTCCCAGCATCTTCTATAAGCAAGGCCCACCTTGTTTATGTTGAACTTGCCTGGTGGGAGCTGAAATGACATGCTGATGTGTTGCTTCTCCCTGTCTCAGTAGCTTGGAGTCTAGAAGGAGGTGACTGAGCCAGAAATGATAAAGGCATGGTCCAGGGCAAACTTCTGATGAAGTTGATGTGGGAGGTGAAGGTTCTTCCAGGGAGAGGGGCCTGTGAGTTGTGAAGGGGCCATAATTGGAAAGAATTTTGATGACAAAAAGGAAAAATACTGCCATTATCTGACTTCCAGAGATAATCATTGAGAATATTTTGGAAAATTCCTTTTGGATTTATTTTACATGAATTGTCACAGAGTGCCACCACGTGCTACACACATGATTTCAGAGGTGGTAAGCATCTGTCTTTGCCAGTAAAGACTTGTCAGGCTTGTAGTATCAGCATCTGTGGAGTTGCTATCTGTCCGCAGCCCCTCCTTCTATATCTACCCCCTCCCCACCATTGCTAATCCACTTTCTGTTTCTGTGGGTATTTGACCTTTAGTGAGGCTTACTTTACTCAGCATAATGTTTTCAAGATTCTTCTTTATTGGGTCTGAATTTCATTTCTTTGAACTATGCATTGCTATTTTTATTATTTTTATAATTAAATTTATCTTCTTACATTGTTTTTCAATTTTGCCACAGTATTTGATTTTCTCTTCAAGGAATGAGTTTTGTTACTCCCTCGTGGATATTGTACAGTTTGCTTTTCCATTCAGCTGTTGGTGGACATGCAGTTGTTTTCTACCTTTGGTCCTTGTGACTAGTGCTGCTGTAGACATGAGTGTCTGTGTCTTTGGGGCATATACTGAGGAGTGGAATGGCTGAATCACTACCAAGTAACCTTTTTTTTTTTTTAAGAGGCATGTTCTATTTATTTATTTATTTATTTGTTTGTTTTGTTTATACATGCACTGGGTACAGTCAGAAGTGCGGGAGGGTGAGAGAATTCACCAGAGCCAGAGCGGGGAGCAGAGCAGGCAGAAGGACCGAAGCACACTGCTGAGGGGAGCAGCGGGCGGCAGGAGAGGTCTGCGCGCCATGTGGGACCCTCCTCCAGTGGCCGGGGAGCAGCCGGGGATCGAACCGGCGCCGCGGAGGTCGCAACCCAGTGCTCAACCGCTGCGCCACCGGGGAGGCCCCCAAGTAACCTTTTGAGGAACCACCACACTCAGTGTCTGTTTTGACCCCACTGACTTCTAGCCTTCTCTCTGCAGTCCCGGAGCTGCAGAGGGTTTAAGCCACGTTCCTCACACCCTCTCAGAACCTCTGTCCTCCTCAAGTACTGGCAGGTTCCACGAAGCTCTTATATTAGGGCCAACTTGGCCTCTGACTGCAAGCTGATCTAAAGGGTATCTCTAGACTACCCCAGCCTTGTGTGTCCAGGAAACATCTGTGCTGGGGTCCTGTGCCCTCAACACCAAGTTTCCAGAACCACCCGACTCTCTCAGCTTGGACTTTTCTGGGTCAAGAGTCAGGTGGACAAGATGTGGAGGAAGCAGATGGTTGGATGAAAAATTCCTCTTTTCAAGGCTGACTTGGAAAGAAAACTTTCACACAGAGCGTGTGTCTGTGTTTCATGTCTTTTGTTTTGCACGTTGGAAAACTCACTTTCCATATTAAGAACACCATGGGCTCCTTTTTCTGGCCACCACTCCTGAAAAGACAGGCGGATGGTTCAGGAAACAACTTCTAGAGGGAGTGGGCTGGAGACACAGTCTCCTGACCTTTCATTTGAGGTGTCCCTCTGTGTTGTATCCAAATACTTTCCTTTTCTGGTTTACTAGAAGTCAGGCTTAGCAGCTTTGTGTCGGCTCAACTGTGGTTTGGGGAATGCAGCACCGATCTTTCTCAATCTGCAGGATGTCTGGCCCTGCTCAGCTTAGAGCCTGCCTGCTGCTCCCTCTGTTTCTCCAAGATGGTAGAGTAAAGCAGAACATTCCCTTGCAAATAAATCACTTGTAGGGTGGACACAACTTTGTGCTTAATGACCCCCTTCTGCTAAATTCAGACTTAAGGAATCCTGTTGTCATGGGCTAGGTAGTTTTGTGGTTGTCAATTTATAATGGTGTCTTTCCTTCAGGCCACTCCATGATGTCATTATCTTCTCCACACAGGGCCCTGACCCATAGCAGGAAGGTCTCTGGGATGTCAACTGGGCCTTCTGCCTCGGTGTTTAGGCCCAGTGAGGAGAAGGCCCTTGTTCCTTGCTCCTGGCCAGGTGGCAAGTGTCCCTGCAAGCTGGTCCTCGTGTCCTGCACATCCCATTAAAGCCTCTCCTCAATGTTGAGTTACTCATGCAGGTTCCAGGGAGACAGTGCATGCAGCCTCCTCTCTCAGTATCAGCCACTGTGGGGAAAGGCAGATCCTGTGCCCCTTCTGCGGACCCTGGGGGCAATTGCTCTCTGGTCAGGGGCTCCAATAGCCTTGGAAGGCAGCCTCAGAGTGCTCTGGAGCCCTGGAATGTGCTGTGAATCAGGGCCTGGCCCCTGGGGCGGGGTGTGTGTGTGTGTCCTGGGCCTGGGAGGGAGCTGGGAGCCCTGGAGTTCAATTGGGGCCCTTCCCAACTTGCCTGGCCTAGAGCGCCTTGAGGTGAGCATCACCACGCCCCTGGGAGCCAAGAAGTATGGTTAATTAGGAGGTACCTTATGTGTACAGGCAGCGGAGTGTGCTTTGGGTCCTGGCTGGGGCCTCATTACCAGAGCCGCCAGACGGGCAAGGGCGTCTCAGCCTGGGGCAGCTTTCCGGGCAGTGCAGGGCTCTCTGTGCCTCTAATGAGAACAGGCCTCTGGCTGGAGTGCCGCACTGCTGGCACGCAGCTTCTCCTGTTATCTGTCGCTGACTCTCCTCCCACCCGTGTATCTTTGCAGTCTGTTTTTCCACAAATTGGCTCAGATCCCCAGGTGATGGGAAAAACATTCCTGTCTGCTGAAGCCACATGCGGCCTAGGGGGTGGGCTCTGCTCCTGGAGTCTTTGGTCTCCCCCCCTCTCCAGCCTGGCTCCTGCTTGGGGACTTGCTGCTTCCTTTTCAGGCAAACTGAAAAACAAAATTAGCATTTTGGAAAATACAGGACCTCATTCGAGGAGATGCTTAATGGTTTGAACATGCAAAGAATTTGATTTTCATTTTGCACAAAGCCAGGCTTGCTCTGGGCAGCGAGATCTCAAGGTTAGCAAATTGTGGATCATGTGAACCAGGATCTGGAAGGCTGTATTCAGTGGGAGGCTGAAATCTGGGACCCTGGCGCTTGCATCACAAGACAATGAGTTCTGGGCCAGTCCCTGGCCCTTGGGGTCCATATGTATCATCTGTTAGAACAATGCAGGCAGCAGTGTTGATGGAGGCACAGAGAGGTTAATGGGCTGCCAAGGGCCACCCAGCCAGGACTAGGAGAAGTTGGATTTGTACCAGGAGAAGGCTGCACTAGGCTGCCTTGTCTCTACCACCATTATGCTGCCCAACTTGTCTACCTTCCAAGGAAAGGTGGCAGCCTTTTAAAGAGAATTATTTCCCATAGGCCCAGATTTCCCAGTTAATAAAATAACCCTGTGGTTCTAAAAGTGGAACTTTGGTGTGGTTTCTGTTCTCTGGGGAGTCTTCGAAAGACTTTGAAAGGATAGCCAGGGCTTATATTACCTGGAACACAGGACCATTACAATTCAGCTTATCTGATTCTGGGGTTTATGGGGAGAGCCTTGGGGCTGTCTTATCTAGGAGTGTCTGCTGGTGGCCTGTGGTGCATCTTGCCTCTGGTCTTGGTTGTTTGGTGCTACAGTGTTTTAAAAATTCTGGAATTTGATGGTTGTGTGTCTGCAGGATGCCACAGCCCCACAATTCCCATTTTCTTATACGCAACTAGTTTACAGTTTGTCACCTGCCCCACCCCTGAACACAGGTGATTTATTTTGCCCTATGGCTTGCTGCTTCTAGCACCACTTATATGGGGGGGGGGGTGGGCACTGAGATTCAGAAGGGTGGGATGGCCCAGCCACCCTAATGCTTAGAGGAAGGAGGGGGCTATTTCTTCAGAGTACTGCCTGGAGCCAGGGTCCCTGAGGGACACTCAACACAGTGCCCCCTGGTGGTGAGCTGACCTGCTCTCCTATCCGCCAATGGTGACATGGCCCCAGGAAGGAAGGATGTGTTAACTTTTAGACCCCATGGGTGTCTCACATCCTGAATTGGCTCTCTTCTTGAGCCTGGGTAACCTAAAAATAGTTGTGTTGCCTGCCAGCTAGGCTGTGAGGAATTCACAGCTGGCTAGGGGGCAGGGGCAGGGTGTGGAAGAGGCCTGGGTGAGAAACTGTGGCACACATCACCTCAGAGACGTGGGTATCCCTGCCATTTGTCAGGCAGAGAAACTGAGGCTCAGAGAAGGCAGGTGACTGAGCACACATTTTCTCTGGGCAGTGATCCATCTTCCTGAGAGAAAGTCCCGTACACCTCACCACTCTCTGAGTGAGAAAGCCCTGGCACTTGTGAGGTCATTCTAGGTACCACTTCCCACACTCCACTGAGAGCTCTGAGTCCTCTCCTGACTCAGCAATCTTGTGAGAGTAAGTG